TTCTCTGATGGAAAATCCAATAAAGCAAATATCACAGAATCTCTCTTTTAGTTAAAACACAAGTGTGAGATTGATCTCCTACATCTTGATGGGCTATCTTAACTGGCCACAGCACATGTGCTGAAATGACCGAAAAATAGACAGGCACTGTTGATCTATTGTTTCAAATGCTCAAAGTCAACAGATAATAAAGTTCAAAACCACATCCAAGACTTGTATAATAAGGCTGCCCCATAGTCTGGGAACATCCTAAAAGTCCATTAATAAGTGACTATCACATTCACGTAAAGGTTGCAAAAACATTTTTTTGTGTGTATTCATATGGAAACATTTCCAGGATATATTAAGTAAAGGAAAAAAAAAAGGAACAGATTCAGTCCACAGTGTAGCCATTTGCGTTAAAAATAATAATAATAATAAGGGGCGTGGGAGGCTACGCACGCACACAAACGAACACACACACACGTTTATATCTACAAAGTGCCCACGACATTAACAACATTGGTTCCCTGTGAGTAGGGAAAGAAGGTCGGGCTGCAGGATGGGAAGAACACGTTGACTTATTTCATTTTTGAATTTAAGGTCAAAAGTATGTTATTAGCTAGAGATTTTTTTTAAGTTAAAATTTTAGTTTGAACTAAAACAATAAAATGGCGGCTCCATTCAGCTGGCACCAGGTGATGATGAGGCTCTAGGCATCGAAATCCTTCACAAGCCGACATGGCTACTGAAATCTGCGAGGGAGAGCCCAGAGCTGAGGTGGTGGCCGGGACAGCAGATGCAGCATGGCAGGGACAGTGCAGAGAAGCAACAGCACACATGTTAAAAGGCACTGCAGGCATTCATTCTACTTCTCCCACACTGCCACCAAAGAGTGAGAGGAACAACAGGTAGAAGGTGGGTACACCGTGTGAGCCTATTTTTAAAAACTCTGGTGTCTTATATCTATTCACCTTCACTTATTTAATGGGATCTGTCAACATTCAAAAGATTGTCAAATTATAAATTTCTCATTCAGCCAAATTAATTGGAAGTTTAGAAAGACTGCTATAATAGCAAATTATTATTTCTATTTGTGTAATTTTGTAAATATCAAGGGCGTGGCAAGCTCTGTAATGTACTGACCTGATTGTTTCCACCTCTCCATTCCTATCATCACAATCCCTCTATTAAAGTTAGAAAAGTTGAAGTCAGCTGTCTGTCCCCGATTACTTTACCACTCTGCTACATTAAATCTAGAGCACACGGCTACCTAGATAGGAGGGTACTCGGCATGGGTTTCCCCAAAAGCAGACCCTGAGACAAGAGCTTGGATACAGTTTATTTGATACAAGGAAGGGAGAAATACTAATGAAGCACATGTTACTGGCCAGGCCCTCACTGGTTGAGGGTTGCACCTGGAGGTATTAATGCCCTGGCATTTCTGGACTGCCAGCTCGTGAGCTGAACAAACCTACCCAGGTAGAGGAGATCCCTCACGCAGAGAAGCAAAAAAACATAGGTGCCTGAAAGGGGGAACTGTCAGCAGACCTGGGAACTGTCCACCGCAGGGGCCATGAACTCACAGGTAGGTCCTGGAGATACGTGTGGGGCATTGAGAGCGCATCTGCTACTGGGAGACAGGGGGAGTCAACAGAGGAATATAAGGAGGATAAAGAAAACTTATAATTGAAGATATTGGGGGCGGGGATGCTTGCTGAGAGAGAGAAAGAGAAAAGGGGAGCAAAAGAATGAATACAAATATGAATTAGTACAAAGGAGGCATATTTATTGAGATCTTTAAGAAGAATATCATTCTTTTAGGAGTTGACTAGCCTTAACAGTTTTTTAAAAACGTTTATTTCTCATTTTTAGCTCAGTCTCTGGGGAGATAGCCATGGCCTTAACACTTTTAAGGAGAAAGCCTAGGCGGAGAAAAGGAAGAGGGACACTGGCAAGAGACAGAATACTGGAAACCCTGCATTCCCCTATTGTTTCCTGCTGCTAAGAGAACCATTCCCTATACATATTTCAACCTATACTCAGTGTGGACTTGTAGACTTGTGTACCTGAAAGAAGACAAGGCTTCTAGAATAAGTATGATTAATGTCCAAACCCAACCTGGCTGGCAATCTTACCATGGTTGTCAGAGATGGGTGCACACTGAGATGAAAAATTGCAGGAAAACATAAGAAAAATCAACCTTCAGTAACTGGATCTTTCAAATAATCCTCTAAGTTTCCTAACTCCATGACTTAGAAATATTAGGCAAAATTATTGAAATGAATGAAGTAGAAATTCTTGTTTAAACATATC